TGGATGTGAAGATGTTTACAGTCCTGTCATTATCAGCCATGTGAAAATGCAGAGACACAATGTTTGTGGTGTGATTAAACTAGGCAACAACTTTTTTCCTGACCTTTGGCATTCAGTGCAGAGACAGTGTAACATCAGCCTCCTACTGCTCTGGATCCAGAACAGACCATTTTTTTGGTCAGGCCAGGGAAAACCACCATAAATCTTAGACCTCATTTTATGGAACATTGCACTTATTACATAGTGCAAGACTAAGGTTTAACTTGAATTACATTTTCCATGACGCTGTCTGAACCCACATGTAACCATAGGAGTGCAATTGGTATGGGCTGTAATTATTCAGCAGCACTTGTCTTCCCAGTTTTCTCTTCCTTCCATTTGTTTAACACCTGCACCACCGTTTCCTATTAAGCTGTCTTAAACTTATTATTGCACACAACAATCACATACTAGTTCTGACAGATCACTAATTGCTTATCAGCCACGTGGCCTGATTGAGAGATGAAAGGGGGGCTTAATGCAGTCAGCTATTGAATAGGAATAACATCCTGGAGCAGCAATCATAGCTTTGTTTCTGAGGGGAGGCTTAATCTGACAGCTCATTTAAGGCCCAATGATGAAAATGAAGGAAAAAAAACATGAGTTGTTCTCTCTTCCATTTGCTAACCTGACCCATACTCGTTTTTGTGTACAGTATACAGAGTCTTAAAATCCAAGAGTTGCCAGACAGTGTTGTGCATTCTGCATTCAGAAAACAGGTCATTGCAGAAGTGGCTTTTGAAGCTTTATCATAATAAGGTGGAAGAAGAATATTTTATTCCTGCATATTTGCAAGGTACAGTCCCTTTTAGGAGGGTGATATCTTTGAGTCTTAGATGCCTGCTCCCACTAAAAGATTTTCATCCACTTAACTTCCTTACATAAAAGCTTTGGCAGTACTCATATAAATTAAACATGATCACAATTGTTAAGACAAAACTGGAACAATTGTGAAATACTTTGAAGAGCTCGGGTCTGGGAGATGAGACCACATTTAGGAGTTGTATGAAAAATAAAAAAATAATGTGAGCTTGTGTAGTGGGATCTGCTTTATTTCCCCGTACGCCGACACCCCGGGGGGTGGCAGTGTCCCATGTTGTACCAGCAATGGTGGAGATCAGGTGATTGTTCTGAATGTTGAACTCCTTCATGCCGTTTGTGTTGTAGAGGTGAACAGGGTGAATAGGATGGGTGTTGTTTTGATACTATATATCCTCATTTAGGGCCTGGTCCAAGGTGTCAGAACTGGAGGATTGTGTTGCCAGACGGAGGTCGCCAGCATGTGTAAACTTTCAGGGTGTGGTTTTAGAGAGGTCATTTATGTACAGATGCAATAGAGTGGGAGCCAAGACTGAGCCTTGAGGAAGTCCATTGTCAGTCCAAGGATCAGCATTCATGTCACGCCCCCAGTCAGTACCCAGGCATGCTTGCTGGCGATATCCACCAGGATACCCAGGAATATTAATGGAAAAGGCAATAAATAAGTGCAAAGACATCCACTGGTGTAGTGGAGTTGCATGACCATTGATGTGGTCAGAAATTACATGTGATGGAAGTGTTAATGTTAGAGAGAGGAATACTTAGGTGACTATAAATAGGAGATGACTGGAAAGACTTTGGAAGTGCTTAATTATTTATGTAGACCTTATGCATTGGTTTATGGAATACTGTGTGCTATCATTTGCAAAATATTATTTCTGACAGTTTTCAAAAATAGTGAATTGTAGCTGCTGTTGAATCTTGTCATACTGTCTCAGCTTTCCTACCAATGGCCTTATTCCATGGAAACTATTGAGTCAACTGCAGAAAAGCTAAAGCTCAATGTCATTGCACCTTTTTGATTTCCTAAACACCCCAGGTGTCAGCTTTTCTCCATCCACTGCCTTTCTTCTCTGGCTGTATGGCATAGTGGCCTGGAGTCCTTTTGCTATTTCTGTTTGAAATAAAGAGGTTTTCCAGCTGTGAGAAGTCACATGGCATCCCATCTCCCTTGGGGGGCTCTCTCTGTCCATTCTTCTGACGGCTGGCAGAGAGAGCTGTGCTTCCTGGGGACTGGAGCATTGGCATTCGATTACAACACAACAGCACAATCTAACTCCCACATACACTTGTAAAGGTATTTTTGAGACAGTGCCATTCCATTTTATATGGAATTACTTCAGGGTGGACTTGAGGAGGATACCATACCTAATGCCCCATCATGCTGCTGCAGAGGGTAAAACAAGTTAAGGGAATGTCAAATGGTACCAAATGCATTGTGTGTAAGAACTGCAAGAATTTAGGATTTATGCCTTTGTTTTTGAATAATCATATGGCATGGCCATTTGAATAAACCCAGCCATTATCTAGCCACTTTATCCGATTCCGGGTTCATGGGGTAGGCAGAGCCTTTCCCGGCAAGCAATGGGAGCAAGGCAGGGTGCACCACACACTGGATACCAGGGCACACACAGACACAAATACACACATACTCACAGAAGTCCATTAACCAGCAGTATATCTTTTGACTGTGAAAGGAAACCCACACGAACACGGAGAGAGCATACAGACTCCACACAGACAGCAGGAATTGAAGTCAAGCTGCAAGGCACAAGACAGCAACGCTAACAACTGCACCAGTGTGGCACCCATTGAATTAGCCCAAGCATATATCCAGCACATTCTCATAGTCATCAGTATGGGTTTGCCCTCCTTTGTGTTTCAAGTATTTCAAGCTACATCCTTAGAGTTAAAGTTTTGTTTACATTAATACAACTATGTGACTTACAGCTGCAACTAATTAAAGTTATTATATCAGAAATAAAAACACAATATCTTTCTTTGCTTCCGCACTGACTGTGTGTCCCCCTTGCCCATAAGCAACGAGTGTTGAACTGCCTCCTTTGCAGCTGCAGCTGTCGTTTCTGACGCAGTGGAGCTGGCAGTCTGGACGCAATCATAAAGGTGGAGCACGATGAGGTGTCCATCTTGGCAAGGTGTTGCGTCTCGGACTCTCCCAGATCGTGCCCTGCCACTCACCGACTAGCTCACTGGAAACTCCTGTCAGGTTAGATACGGCTGGACGTGGACACTCCACACATCAAGCAACAGTGCGCCGATTCAGTCCCGAACGAAAGCATCAACTCTTCACAAGCGGGTCATATCGGTTCCTTTTCGTGTTTCTGATTTTTATCACATTTGATGCTGAAGACGTTTATTCACCTCCTCACCTATCTCACTCGCTTTTACAGCTTATACAAGAAAGCCACTCAAGTGCCTCATGGTACAGTAAGTCATGAACTGTCATGATCGGTTTTTCAGGATGGACCCAAGAACATTTAATCAATGTTCAAAATCCATATTTTTTTTTCTAGAAAATACTGTATGTGCATTAGTAGAGTAATACGTGTCTTTTGATGCTCAGTAACTTATTTAATGATGCTATGCATTTCTTAAATAACACTGCTGGGAGATGAAAGAAGCCAGCAAGGTTAATGTTGTCACCCTTGGCTTCAGCAGTTGAGCTGGAATGAGTCCATAGCTATAATAAGAATGGTCAATACTGTCTGCTCTCTATATAGGTCTGATCCCAGATCCTGTTGCATTTGACTTTCACGGCTTTGCAGAGGCCAGATGTACAAATGTGCACGTTTCACTTCTCTCATAGTGTAGTGTGGTGTAAATGAACACGGGTAATCAGTCTACAGTTTGAAAAGAAATAAAGAAATGTGGGATGCTGGTGGGTGAATCAGTGAGGTCTATAGAATATTAGGGGGCAACGCCACATCTGACAGTGAACTCCAGTGCTCACACCTGAAGAAGGCTTCACAGCCGAAACGTTGTGTTTTCTCTCTTCTCTTTCCAGCAGGAAATAAACCTGTTACTTGTTCATTAGTGAACTCCAGGGTTCAGTGATAATCATAACTCATGTTGATCATGGGCTGAAAACAGTGATTTTTAAGGGGGTGAGATGAGTAGTGATATTCATAAATGTCAGACCTGCTACTACTGTACCTTACTCTGTCTGCTAATCACATTTCAGAAGGAAAGGAGTATCTTTATGATGGGGGTTTCTGAGGAACAACTGATTAAATATAATAGTTTATCTCAGGCATTAAAGCTTCTACTATAATAATATTTAGAAATTACTTTTTTAATGGCTCTTCCTTTCAATACCTGTGAAAGAGATCTGCAAAGGTGAAAGGAATATGCATATTATATGGAAATGAGTTGGATAATTGTATTTTTACAAGGGTAAAAACAAGGTTTGATGATTAAATAAAAGGAAGATGATTAAATGCAAATCATAGCTTGTTAACGTGTGGGATTGCATGGTGATCATTTCTAAGTGTTTATCTTTGCTTTTTTGTAGTTTGCTATGTAATTTCTTATTACACTCGCTTGTACAGACACGCATCTTATTGCAGTTACTGTGAAAATTATGCTTTTTATTTTTATGCTTCAAGTTAATCAAACTCAGAGAATTTTTGTAGCATTTGTTTATAATGAATTAGTATTATTTGTTACATAATACACCATTCCTGTTCATATGTGCCATATTTTAACCCTTTAAATTCCTGTGATGTGAAATTGCTTGTGTAACTGCATTTGCAGTGCACAGTGAATATTTTCATCCAGCATAATTGGTTCTGAGCACAGCTTCCTAGTGCAGTAAATAATTGCATTGCAGAGGGGTATAGACGCAGTCACCCTTTACTGGGACACTAGTTTGATTGTCCTGAGGTTTGCTGCGCTTTTAAACTCCTTAGCAAGAGGCAAAGCAGGGTGAAGTCTCAGGGAGCCAGGGATTGGCCAAACTTCTGTATGTGGCCGCAGTGAGTTCTCAGGTTCACTTACTTTGCCTGTGGCCACAAAAGGACATTTATTAATCTGACAGGTGCTCTGGGAAGATGAGAGATGGGAATTAAATTGCACTTTCTTGTCTTTTCTCCTTTTCTTCCCCCCTTTGCTGCTCCTCTCAGAGACGTGGAAAGTGAGCTGGAGCTGGTCTGGGAGTCGGCCTGCAGAGAGAACCGCAGAATGAAGGAGGCCTTGTTGGGCTGCTGGTCCAGAAGAACCCCAGCCTCCACCGGCCCCGGGCTGCAGGCGCTGGGCTTCCGCTCTCCCAGGGGCCCCCGGACGGCCCCCGAGCCCCAGCCGGGGAACACCAGCTCCCCGCCTTTGACAGCAACGCAGGGGGGTGGCAAGTCCGGGCTCCAGCAGAGCCCCATGTTTGAATCCGATTCGGACCCGCAGCAGGGCCCTTCCTCGGATGAGAGCGAGCAGAATGGGCTGGACTTCTATTCGTAGGAGATGGGTGCTGTCTGCGCAAGAGGGTAATTAAACCCTAGGAATCTGTTGGGGTGTCATTTTTCTCTATTTATCTATAAGTTGATAAATTATATCCTACATAACATATTTCATGCAGACAATTTGGTGTTCTCCAGTCCGTGTAACGAGGAGTCTTTGCTTTTCTTTCTTTGCCTAGTTCAGTTTTGCTACATGCTGCTCATGGAAGTCCCAGTCTCTCAGCCTCAAGCTGGAGAAAAGCTCTTGCCATGGCAAAGTATTCACCATACGTGTCTTAGAAACAACTTCAGAATGGCAGGCTGCCATATGTCAATGATCCCTTGCAGTAATTGAAAGAATGTTAAAAACATAGAAGGCTGAAACTAAAATAAAGGTCTGAAAATACCACAATAAAATTACTGTGATAAAACTGCATAAATTTAAGCAGTAATGAGTATATCTGAATTAAGATCACAACTCTTAGCATGCCATTTTCCCTAATAGAGCTGAGAGCTGGTGGTCTATTGGCACCTTAGTCACAGAGGCCTCATCGGGTTTCTGGGGTTGCCTCTTAATTACTGCTCCATCAGACGAGCTGAGAAAAGGCACAACAGGCTCTCAAGCCCACGATGCTCTTCATACTGTTCACTTAACTGTCTGAAGCCTGCAAGGAAAAAGGAGTTTTTCCAGCCTTTTCAGCCCTACTGACTACAATATGCAGCCATAAAGCACCTCCACATATTATATACATTCACCTTTGATAAGTACAGGACATGAGTCCTCTATTTAGCCATTTAGCATTCTCTTCAAGAGTGTTCTGTCATTAAAACCACTTATTGCTATGTATTACATCTTTTGAGTTCGTATTGTGAATGATATCTCCTTTCTCTTTTGTCCTTAAAGATCTGCTTCTCCACTGTTTTCAAGTCCTTTCTGAAACTGAATTGAAAGAAGAGCAGATTTCTGTTGGTCAGATGATTGTTTTTAATCCAGACATGCGAAGGTTGTAACACTAATGAGAACCACTTGCAGCTGTCTTGTGGTCAAGGTGACAGTAGGGGTTCCAGTCTGTTTTTCGTCATGGTGCATGGGAGACCTCAGGTTGTATCTGTGGCACTCCAGGGGGCACAGCAGTCAGCACTGCGGCCCTGGGTTCAGCTCCTTGGACACTCCCTGCGTGCAGGTAGTTTGTTGTCCCCGTGTTCGTGTGGGTTTCCTCTCGCAGTTCAAACACATGCTGTATGGTTAATTGTTTTCTGGGAAAACTGGCCCTGGTTTGATTGCGTGTGTGTCTGTGTGCCCTGGGATGGACCGGCTTGCCGTGTGCCTGTTGCTCCGTGTCACTGTGTGGGATAAAGCCATTAGAAGATGGCCAGAGCTGGATTCCACCTGGGGTTAGTCTACCACTTGGTGACCGATTCATACAAAATGGTCTCACTATTGACTTTGTGTGAAAATGTGTGTCGTTTCATAAAGATGTTGCTCCCGTAAAACATACTGCACGGATACTGTAAATTTTAGGTTATTGTGTATTACCAAATTAAAGTATTTTTATAGTACAAAGAATGTATAACTTAGGAAATGAATTCATTAAAATAATGTATTAAATATTTCCCAAATATAATTTAATTTAATTAATGTGATTAATACATATGTGATACAGTCCCTAACATCATAGGTCCAGTGTTGAAGAAATCAGATGCCCTAGTTTTCTTTTTATATATTATATGTAAACCTAAATATATTATTTAAAAACATTGCATAACAAGTATTCATGCAACAGAAGTCACGTGTGAAATAGGATTTAGAGATGTTCTAATTCATAATGTTAGTAGCGTAATGAATGCATTAGATATGCATCACATTCGCTTAGTTAATACAACATGAATGCTAAATCTTTCCTTATCCTCTGCTGCAAATTAAGTCTTGATCCATTTGCTTTTCTGTAAATCAGTTTTTACAACACATACATAAAATAAATAAGATCAAGGCTAATATTGTGCGATTACAAAAAAATCTTATTTTACTGAGCTTTATGAACTAAAAAAATATCACTCTAGCCTCTAGTGTTACTGCACTATAATAGAGTTACTTTCAAAGTTGGCTCAACAGATTCTGGCTTCTGGCTGTCTGGAAACGTGCCCCATTTGTAGTAATATTGACAGTGTCCAAAAAAACAACACAAAGAAAGTTGACAGAGTGATGTTCACCTCAAGATTCACCAAGAGAATTCGTATGTTGTCTTAAGTGTACCTGGGCCACTATCTGTGTGGAGCCTGTATGCTCTTCCTGTGTTCACCTGGGTCTCCTCCAGGTGCTCCAGTTTCCTTCCACAGTTCAAAAACAATACTTCTAGCTTATTTGGCTTCTGGAAAACTGGCCCTGGTGTACATGCCTGTGTATACTGCAATGGCCTGGCATCCTGTCTAGGATGTGTCCTGCCTTGTGCTGGTTGCATGCTGGGAAGAGCTCGGGCTCCCCCATGATTCTGAATTGGAGGAAGTGGTTAAAAGGAGTGTGGGTAAACATTACCAGGTTTCCACAAGACTTCAGTAGTTAATTGCTCCATGGAGCCAAGTGATAAGTTTCTTGATGTACACACATTTGTGGCATTTGAAACTGTGAGCTAAGTTTCAGGTTGACTCTTTCTGACATAATAGTGACTAATGTAGATCTCTCTTCACATTCTCTTGACTTGCATAGTTGTGCAACCTGACAATAAATTAATATTGTAAAATTAGGGCCTGCATTATCTTATCAAATCCCAAGTATTTATTTCTTGTCTTAGTCACTTTTGGCCCCTGAAATGTAAGAAACAAATCTTACAATCTTTTTTAAGGTTAAATTTAATAAGCACTTTTTACTTTGAAAATGAATTTCATCCATCAGTTATTTTACCAAAGTTACTCCCCTGATCTTGTTTAACATATTTACTGATCTGTTGCTGGTTTATTGCTGCAAGTAGATTAAATAATATGTTTGCTTCTAACAGCTGTTCAACTAGCTATTTTATTCACATTAAAGTGTCACAGAGCATTTCTCCCTCCATGCAGTATGAGTTTCATATTTGATCTGAGGCATTTAGAGCAGCTTTGAAGGTCTGTAGTCTATGCTTTAAATCACTTGTGTTTCCATCGTCTGTTTTCTATTCACTATAACATGTTAGTTTTACAACTGGTAGTTATGCTAGCATCAGTTAGTGTGTTCTCTGGTATCCTCCAGCATGTTAAGGTGCAATACTGTTACCTTAATTCCTGTCATTGTTGGCATTGCTACCCAGACATGTCGTAGTGAGATGTGGTAATTGGAGAATGATAGGTTTCAGATTTTGCCTTGGTTATGAAGGTCTAATAGTGGAGGAATTATTGGAGGACTGCATTTCAGATGAGCGGTAAAGGATGAAAGGGTAATCGTTAGGACTGACGTAAAGGACCTGACTTCAGACTCCGGGATCTCTTCATTTATGTGCCTCTTTCGCCAACAGCTAAACAGCCATGTAAAAACTGGTTGTGGTTAGACACAGCTCTCTGAAAGCAGGCGGATGTTGATGTTGTTAAGCACAGTCATGATAAAAGGAAGGTCTTTTACAAATCACACATAGGTAATGAAAAATGATACTGCAGTCCTTGGGAGAACATGGTGGAATAAATGATGAAAACCACTGGAATGTGTAGAAATTTCCCACTTCTCTTAAGTGAACTAAGACTGCCTAGCCTGGTGTGAAATATTCTTCTTGTTTGTATGGCTTGGTCTATTTTTAAGAAGACTTCAGTTTTTCTAGCTCTTTGCCTTTGTATTTTGAGGAATGAACAGCACTTATATGCAAGCTGTATGTGTGTTCGTGCCACCACCCTTCCACTTTGATGAAGATGTTTCTATATTTCAGAGGTTCAGCACAAGAGATTTATTTTTTGTCTACAAGTAAAGTGAAATACTATACATAGACACTCAGGGGAGAAACAAACCAGCATCTCGATTTAAGATTCATTTATTTAACCAAGAAACGTGCTTTGTGATAAGCACCTTATTTTCACAGAGAAGCTTGTCCACATGAGGCAACAAGTGATATGCTGTAAAGAAAGTTACAAATAAAATTAAAACAAACTAATGTCAGTTGTCAAAAAGATGTAAAATACAAAAGACAAAACAAGAGAGCAATCAGTACATGTTTTTTTTTACTGATTTTATATGTAAATTCTGTACAGTATCAGTTAAGCAGAACATATGTTGATTTCTATTGGTTTGGATAAAATGTTTCTAACTTAAAGACGTTGCACTATTTCCTATAGAATATTGCTCAGAATTCTATCACGCTTCAGCACAACTACTAAGAGGTGGGACCTGCAAGTAAATATTTTAATTGTGCAATCTTCCATAACCTACATATTTAGAAACTCATTCACCCTTGATGTCATTTCTTCCATCCTCGTGGGGTTTAGCGAGTCCTTCAAATCTGTGTACGAGACTCAACAACCTTTTTTGTCTATGATTTCCAATCTGCTACTGCATTTATCAGAAACCAAGCTGTGCTCTTAACTCATGAGCTGTGGAGTCTACCTTTAGACATACACAGTGCTGCACAGTGTGTGTTCTACCTTACAGAGGGACAAGGCCTGTTTCAGACCTAAAAAGTGTCTTTGACTCATTTCAATAGCACACTGATTTGAGGCCTAGAGGAAAGAAGAAATGATATGAGTAGCCAAAGTTACCAACTTGTGCCAAAAATCTTCGTTGAGAAAGTGATTTTATGAAGAGTTTATACAATCAAACATTAAAAGAAATGTATCACCCTTTTTACTTATGTATGTTTCTGGACAAATAAAATATAAAAATATGCGGATGTTGAATAAGTATTTTTGGTATTTTTTGTGATTCACTTGGGTGATGATGACTTCTTCATAAACACGAAGTCAGATCACTACTGAGAGAGATGGCTGGGTACAGGTGATGGGACCTGCTGAACGTCCAGCCTTGGGAAAGGACAGAAAAGACGGAAAGGAACCACTATGTTCCTTTAGCTGGTGTGTGGTGAGTGTTCTGGTGCACTATGGCTGCCGTCGCATCATCCAGGTGGGGCTGCACACTGGTGGTGGTGGAGGGGAGTCCCCATTACCTGT